CAACACAAATGCTGAATTTGTCAATCGTTTTCTGTGTCACGGGTGCAAAGTAATTTGCGATCATTTTGTCAATTGAGCGCTTTTTTGTTGCACTCCGAATGTGATTTGTCAACTCCCAAGTTTTGGCTGTGTCGAAGCGGTTCTTTTCAAACTGCACTTTAAGGTATCTGCGCCTAGCCGTTCGAGTGAGGGCACATGCTTTGTTCCTGGCGATTTTAAACTCGTCTTTAAGCGCTATATTGGTCGGCGAGCGTTTACATCAATTCCAAAGATAATCTTTTGTAATTTATAGCTGCCAACACATCCGGTGTAAGCCATACAAAGTCCGTATTACGCTTTTTAACAACTACTGTTTTTCTATACGTGGCCGATAATTACGAACATAACTCTATAAACTTATCGTACACTTTCGACCCTTCAATCGAAGTTAGAAGGCCATCCCAGTCATAGTTGCCAACCATTTGATCAAAGTTTGCGACATCGGTTATTGTTATTGTTTTTTTTAGTTACACCAGCTCTCTTTTCCTTGTTTTTTTACATTACCTGGCACGCCATAAAATAGCGATCTGCTAATTTTTCCGACATAATCGCAGCTTTCACAGTACTTTCGAAAACACGAAGATTTATGTGGTCGATACATGAAGACACTAAACTGTTGCCCGAAAAATCCTCTCGGGTCGGAGCCTGTATAGCGTTTTCGATGCCGTAAGTTGACATTAAATTTAAATAAGCACATACAGTTGGGCGTGGGGAATCTAGCATATTTATACAGAAGTCGCCGACCAAACACAACTGATTTATCGGACTTTATTCCGTTAGGGCTTTATCAAGTTCTTTCAGAAACAAGTTCACATTATTTGTTGGGGGTCAATATGTTGCGAGCAGAATGACGGAAAAATCATGACGGCTAATCTGCAGACTGATGTGCTCAAAACGGGTCATCGTTATCGTAATCGGAGTCGTGCACCAACCATCCTTGACGTAAACGAATATTCCTCCTTCCCTACAAGATGCTCTTAAAACAGTAAAACGTTCCATATCAGGGAATACAAAACAGAGTTTCTATGTCTTCACTAATGTTGATTTTGGTTATAATGAATGCATCCATAACAGGGTCAAGCTCTCGCACAATAACCATAAATTTATCCCAGTATTTCCGAATTCTTCTTATGTTAACGTGAAACACACACACACACACACACACACACACACACACACACGCACGCACGCACGCACGCACGCACGCACGCACGCACGCACGCACGCACGCACGCACGCACGCACGCACGCACGCACGCACGCACGCACGCACGCACGCACGCACGCACGCACGCACGCACGCACGCACGCACGCACGCACGCACGCACGCACGCACGCACGCACGCACGCACGCACGCACGCACGCACGCACGCACGCACGCACGCACGCACGCACGCACGCACGCACGCACGCACGCACGCACGCACGCACGCACGCACGCAAGTAGACTTCGAGCGTTCTTCAAAATTATTTTTAAGCAACGAACAGTTTGAGAACTGAAGAAATTCCATGGCAACGGCTAAATATGTTTCTCCAAGTCTGCCACACGGTTAATGCGCAGCAGTGAGGACGCTTCGTTTTTCTTAAAGATTTTCCGTTTTTCACCCACGTAAATTTGTGCTGCTTTTCCTTTGCCTTTTTTCTGACCATCCAATGCAGATGCCGGTTTTGTTTTATAAGATTCTTGTTGAAGAATATTTTAGATACCGTAGCTTCCTGAACAAGCATAGTGCATTTCTATGGGAGAAAGCGAATGGATATTTCCCTTGCGCTTGAATATAAGAGTGAATATCACGAATAATTCGCGCGTACTAGGAGATTGGAAGTTTTCTCATGTCTGTCAGACAACATAATTGGTTAGTTGCGGCGTTTTTATTTCAAATTCGTGGCATAAAAAGCGGTGTCAGATCACTTAGTGCATGTATTTATGTGTAGTGTCGGAAGTTGTCAGCGCGATCGCGGCGCTTTCTAACATGGGGGGGGGGGGGGGGGGGGGGATATACGTGCCAAACAAACGAAGGGCATGTGGAAAACAAAGAGAGACGGCAAGAACTTCAGAGTAACACTGGATAAGGAACTCCTTGTGCATGCAGACGATCAAAATAAATTGAAAGCCACGTAATATAGTCCAATTTGCGATTAAAAAAAAGTACAGCTTTATTCTTTCTGCTCAAGAAATATGTGCGAAGACGCTTGTTCTGCGTACAAAACATCATCCGCACGCTCGAAATCTTTGAAAATAGGGAGAAGTCAGAAAAAACCTGCCCGATAAAAGGTGCCCGACATAAAAAGAATAAAAATACACCATCCGTTGCCCACGTACCCTGTTTTTCACGTTTAGAATGTTTTTTTTAACCGCTCGTAAAGTTACACGACGGTGTCACTTTGATACATTGACAGGACGGGCATATTAGCAATATATAAGAGCCACCGGAATGCTGGCGAACCTTGAACACACTCTGCGTTCCTTTCGATCGTTATTTTGCTCAGAATCGTATCTCCTTTTTACATGCCTGCTATGGAACAAAGGTTTGGGCCTAAAATATAGCGAAGTGACGAAAAATGCCCTAACTAAAACAATTACACTTCTGCAATGATAAAAAGGTTACATACTATTCAGTAGGACCGAAATATCAAGCGTAATTTATGTTACTTTTCGGCAAAGAGACCAAATGCACGCGCGTTTTCCCATAGGAATGCACAGGAGCACCGCAAGAGTAGACGGGTTGCTGTCTGCATCAATTTGCCTCCCGGTGGTCGCATGGACACTAGCGCCAGTTGAACCCCTAGCGTACATTGTAATAACTCTTTGGTTCGAACGCGTTCTACGAGTGCAGTGGAAAAAAAGGTACCTGGCTTTACGTCTACCCACTAATCTGTCCAATCAGAGCTCGGCGTTCTGACCGTCCCCTCTCGTCTCCTCCTCTCACTCACTTTCTTGGCTCATATTATGACGGCGGTCTGCTAAATGTAAAGGGTAAAATTTCAAACTTAATTTAGCAAAAAACATTACCCGCTAAATTTAGTGGAGAACTTTGTTGGTTAATTTTTCCGCGGGGTATTATACCGAAGCATCAGATTTTCAACAGTATTTATGCATTTAACCATGCTACAAAAAAAAAAGAAAAAATAAAGAACGACGTTCGCACTTTTACGCGCGATATACCACTTTGCATATACATAAATAAACTGTTTTTTACCCCTCAAGCAAATGTTTACGCTTTTCTTTTTTTGGTTACGTTGAAAATTTTGATGGCAACGGGAGGGCCAGAAATACGCTTTGCATTGCTGCCTGGAGCCCGTTTCCGAATGGTATATTTACTGCGTCCTAAAGAGTGCTTCCTCTCGGTTTGCGCCTGCTGACGCCATAGAAGTATCACGACCTCCCCGGTCACGACCTTGGCGTTGTCACATCGGTGGTGGTGGACATGTCAGACGCCTGTTTTGCTGCAGGCCGCTCCCAGCTTAACAGACCGCGGACATTTCAACAGCCAGGAGTTGGGACTCGGCAACGACAGCGACAGCGACACTCGCGCTCGTTTTCAGCTTTTCAATGGACTTTTAACACCAGCCGCCAGAATCGCGGCATCCGACAGCATGACACGCCAGCTCCTGCGACGTTATTTTTTGTTGCCACTTCGGAACAACTTTCCAACTTTCCATTGGACACTAAACGAACCAGTTGAAGAAGCGTACGCATCGTATTCAGCATGACATAGGTATACACATATAGCGTGCTAACAAACACACAAGTGTATATTCCTTTTTTTTATGCACTGTTTGACGTTCGCTTCATATCTGTTCGCAGGTGCACTCTTTCTCACGTGAGTATGGATTGAAACCTTCCTGCTGGAATTACTCCCGCACGATAAAGGTAGCAATAACGTACCCTTTTTTATGTAGAGATTATTTTTTACGTCTCTTTGTTATAAATGAATGGAGAAAACCATAGCCTGAAATTATACTACAGTGGTGTGGAGGAAGGTTACTGTGATTAAAGAGAGAAGTTTCGAAGGTCTCACCAAAAAAATCTTTATGGGTCGCACACGTACAAAAAAATATGTTTTGCAGCGTGGTGAAAGCTGTCTCAATTACACTTTGCTTATTTAGTAACTAGAGCGTTTCATAGTTATGCAGACAACTAGAAAGCTCACGTGTAAGTTTCTTTTTCATCTGATTAGTCATTAAACAAGTATTTTGTTCTCTAATACAGCCGTTAAGATCCACGCCGTTCCGTGTTACAGGTTACTAAAATTCGAATTTAGAAGGTCAACAAAGACTAAATATTTTTAATGTTCAATAAACACTAATATGAGATTCATGGATGCCTAAGCCGTAGTTGACACTGAAGGAAGTAATCATAAAGCGAACGCAAATATTATGTCTGATTTAATCGTTTCCTTCATGCTATTATCTCACACATATCTTAACAGTTACCTTCATTACTTCTTACTGCGACTACAATCAGTATACTTTAGTGCCTTCCCATAGTACCCTCACGCAGTGTCATTTACAAAGTGCCTTTGCAATGTACCTTCCACGACATCATACGCATGCCTGCTCATGCATTCTTCACACGATTTATTCCATGTCTAATGCGAAGGCAATCTACAAAGAAAGCAAATATTTTAAGACAGGCGTGAAAAACGTATTTATTGGACTCCAAAATTTTCAAGTGAAGACAAATGAAACCTACGTCGTGTAGAGCTTTTATTAGCCTAAAACAAACCGTACGTATCCCTTTACACAAATGTTTGAATTACAATATTTATACCTGGTTTAAATAAGGGCGGGGTTTCGCCGGGACACTACGAGAAATGACCATCGCGCACCTCTTAACATTCCTGTATCTCTCGTTGCTACGTGACCCTGGCGGCAAGTGGCTAAATGTTGCTTTTACATATCCACATATCTTGTTTTTTAGGAACTTCCACCGTTTATTAATATTGTCCCCAATCACTAATCCCCCCAATAAATCTCCTCCTCTTCCCTAATCGCTACGTCGCAAAAACTCTTCCAGACAGTGTTTTTAACATTTCCACATGAACTCGAATACATCGTTTCACACATTTGTGACGGTTGTGAAGAAGAGTTACCGACGAACATTTCGCAACCTGAAATAGAGGTGAGGGATACGTTATTTATGATACATTTGACATAAGCCCCAATATCAATTAATCAAATGTGTGTAGCTCTAGACTCGATTTCACCTTAAAGCCACAGTCACATTTTTTCGTACACGACCAAAAATACGTGGTGTTCGCTGAAAACGTGACGAGAGAATTATCTGCGAACACGCAACACACATATTTGAAACATGTGTGCTTTGTTTATACAAGTGTGCTTCGAACATATTTACAGACACTTTCTGTATTAAAAAATTCACGGGTCCGTTATACAACGTAGGGAAACACGCCTCCGCAATTAGGGAGTTTTAGGGAACCGTTTCTTCTCATCCGATACGGCACGATGGGCCCTCCGGTACGAACTGCGCTTGTGCGAGTCTTCTGTGGCAGCGCATGCGCGGTTCCTTTGGGAGGCTCCATCGTACAGTATCGGACGAGCAAAAACGGTTCCCTAAAACTCCCCATTAGGGAGTTTTAAGGAACCGTTCTTGCGCATTCGATACGGCACGATAGGCCCTCCTGTACGAACTGCGCATGTGCGAGTCTTCTGCGGTTGCGCTTGCGCAGTTTGTATGGGAAGGCTTATTGTACCGTATCAGATGTGAATAAACGGTTCCCTAAAACTACCTAGTGCCTGCAGATTGCCGTTTGAATGTTGTATTGCTTAGTCTAGAGTGGCTTAAGCGTTTTGAGCTTCGGGCATACTTTGCACAAGTTAACTTTCTTTTTTTTTTTTAAATAAGATTTGGTCATCTGGTGAAAAAAAAAGCTTATTGCGTTTGAAACGTACTTGTTTTGAACGAATAACTTATCCCAAATGCACGCGCATGTCTCGTAGTTCACGATTTCTTGAAGGAAATTAGTAGCGGTACACGGGGAGCTGAACTCATTTTAGTGCGATTCTTAAAGAACGACGAATACGGGTCTCCCCTTAATAGATATGACTTGGAAAGGCTTCAGTTGTCCCCCCTCCAGCGCGAGCTTCCTTCCTTCGATAATGCTTGGACGTCTTGTGGCTCTTGAGCATGCAGGCGCGGTCAAAGCACGGTGGAAAGCAACGAGCGCGTGCTGGAGGCCGGGTGTTCGAAAGAGACTCCTTGTCAGAAACTATAGAACCTTCGCCTCAAGGACGCGCTAGCAGCGTTCTGTCTTGCACTGGCTGCGCGAGTGCAGCATGTGCACGACGCAGTACACAGGAGAAACAGTAGACGTTCGCACTGCAGGCAGAACTCCTACAACATTCTTCAGCTGTCATCGACTACAACTGCGCAATTATAAGGGGGTGCACCCGTCATCTTATTTGTGGGATACCGCCTGTTTACACCGTTCTTCTGCACAACCCGGCGAGAGGCTTCGAAGACGTGTACGTGCGTGTTCGTTTCTTTGGAAGGCGAGCAAGGAACGTGCCATGCTCACGAACTTTAAAGGGGCGATGCAATAATTTTTGTACTTTGCGCAAATACCACTTAAAACGGATCCCTGACGTTGGTTACCTATGAAACACGCGATCGATTTTCACCCCTCGCAATAAAAATTCCACAAAAAAAACAAAAAAAACGAGCACCGTTTACTTCTTTCACTCGCAGCCAGAACAAGCAGCCACGTGATCTGGAGCCGATTATATGCCGCCAATGTTGATCATAGCCACGCGCTGGGGTTGGCAAAACAGAGGACACGCGCTGAGTTCCAGGCATTGTTATGGATAGGCTATTGTTGTCGTTGCAGCAACTGGACATGGGCCACTACCCAATGCATGTCGAGGCATCGATTGAATATCGTCACCGCAAAGCTCGATGACGCATCCCCGGGGATCGTACTGTTGCCAATAGAGAGTTTTAGCAGATAGTTTTTTCGCCCCAACAACGATACCTCCTCTCCCTTCAGGCGGCCTTCGGCATGCATTGTATCGTTATCGGGACGAAAAAACGATCTACTAAAACTCTCTGTTGTCCCCACAGCTTCGTCATCAAATTTCGCGAAGGAGCAAAAGGTGGCTTTGGAAAAAGACTGAAAGAAAAGCTCCGCTTTCATTCATTGAATTCGGCCGCGACGAAGACGCTTCTTGGTCAGTGGTGTTGCTTTAGAGTATTCTTGGGTCCCACTAGTGATAGGAAGCTGGTGCAAATTAAGAAACATTTCCACCCAATGTCATTGCACAGCCCCTTTAAGTCTGGCATCAGCACCAGACTACTGCAGACAATTGGAAGAATGGCGCACCGACTGGGGTGCCCCATGCATGCAAGTACATGCAGCTTGCGCGAAAACATAGCTCTGACAAGCTTGCAGTTGCACGGGCTTTTGCGCACGCGCAGAGACATTCCGGTGGCCAGTCGCCTCAGTTGTCATTGTCTGTTGACTAAGCTGATAATACCTTTGCTACACGGGCACACCTAACTGCAGTTACGCTAAGTCACAGTTACCACACAATACTTGCAGACAACATTATGCGGCTATTCAGTCAAAGGTATGGGCGCATGTGCGCTTGAGCATCTTGAAAACCGATAAAAGCTGTGCACGCGCGCTCTTCACTTCTTCTGAATTAGCTATCCGAGAGTATGGTTCATAACTGTGGTGCCGCGTAACAGCAGTTAAAGCTGAGATAATTGCGGTTAAGCGGGCCTGTGTAACAGCGGAATTAAAGGTGTTCTCGTAGTATCGCATGTGGTTTTAATGCGCTGATTGACTTCTGGTTAGCTGATCTTGACAACGTGAGAAGTTTTCAATTGTCACGTAATCTAACTAAATGCAGAAGACGACACGTTGACGTGGAAGATTTTTGCGTGTAAATTGATGTCACAACCTACAAAAAGCAGCAGGCAAATTTTCAGTATGCAAGAAGTGATCCGCTACCTTAAATACCGCCGTTTTCTTCAGTAAATGGACAAGTCAGGATATTCTATTGTGGCGAAATGGTGAGTTGGGTTAGTTTGTTCAAAGCTCCAAAAAACAATGACGAAGTGAAGAACGACTTAATACAATTCGCACTCGCAACTCAAATTTTATTTGAAGCACATTGTCTTAAATATAATATTTTAGAAAACAAACACACCATTTCCAAGATATCCACTCATGCTCTAAAAGTAAAAGTACCTTAAATACAAAGGCCAAAGAAGGCTCGGTTACACACTAATCAGGATCACTTGTTTTGGTTACATATGCCTCATGTATTTCTAGCATCTGAAACTGGAAGATAACTTCTTGGTTCGTAACCCAGAGGAAGTGATTAAATATTTAGAAGAAAGGTGTATACGAGGTGTGACACCTTTTCGATTGACGTTGAGGGCCTCCTCTAGACTATCCCCAACCGGGCCTGTTTGATCGCAGTGAGGAATCGTATTGAAAGATCACGGGGGAATTGCCTTTGGGAGCTCGTGAGGGTTGAGTGTGGCTTTATCGGAGTACTGTCGTCTTTTTATCTTGAGCTTACTTTTGTCTGCTTAAGGATAAAGATTTTTTTTTTTTTTTTTGCAAAAACACGGCATTTGCATTGGTTAGCGTGTTGCCCCCGTTCTGTGGTAAAGTTTTTCAATTCATTGCGACAAAACCTTCCTTTAAAAAACTGGGAGATAACGACGTTTTTAAAATTTTCAGATACGTCGATGATTACGTAGTCATCGTCCGCCCACGTACATAATGAGCTTGCGGATAAGATGGTGGATAACGTGAAAGACTTGTTCGCGTTCTGCTCTAATTGTTTGAGAAAATCTCGGGGGGGGGGGGGGGGGCTGTTTACGATACTTGATTTTTAAACTTAAACTCTTGGAGGACCACCACATCCGCTGGGCCAACGGGTTCCACTCTAAAAATGGCGTGCTTCCTTTCATTTCCGAGGTCACAAAGTTATTCAAACGAGGTATTGCCACATCGTGCTTATACTCATTTCATTCTTAAGCGGAGACTAGAGGCTCGGCTTTTAGCGTTAGCTTTCTGCCCTTGCTAACACAAGTGTGAACACGGAGGCCTGTGCAAGCAAAGCACTGCGGAAGCCAGCGAGTTTGCGCTGAAGGCGGAGCTACTAGTCTCAGCTTAATGGTGAACGGAGTATAGGAGCTGCTTTGGAAAGAAGCTGTCTTCATAAAATGGCAGAAGCTTTCTTAGACAAGTGGTTCGGCTCGTAAATGTTGGTTCTCCGCAGAAGTCCTTAGTAGAAGCTGCGGAGGGCCTTACTAAAATATAGAGGGGCATGGAGAGGAATGCTCAATAATGCCACGAAATAAGGCCTGCAGTAATTACTTACATTCTCAAAACCTCTCACAACTTTAAAAAAAAAATTGCGGAACGTTGTTTTTTTTTTTTTTGTTTGGCCCCTTGCAAGCTCTCTTGCGTTATGTAAAAAAGTCAATGCCCCAGAGGGAGAAAGGGGTGAATGTAAGACCATGCACAGAAGCCAGGGTATAGAACGCAAAGCTAGGGTTGTGTATGACATTCCGCTTTCCTGTGGGCGCTCCTACGTGGGTCTTAGTGTGCGTTTTATAAAAGACCGTGCCAAACAACAAGCAGACTCCTTAAAGCTGTCACCCTCAGGGAATTCAGCAGTTCACTGCAACCAATGTGACTGCACTCCATGTTTTCCTGACATTGCGATTGTAGGTTGACACATCAAGAAAAACTACCATGATGTATCTATAGTCAAAGCAAGTCGTCCTGATAAGTGTGTGAGCGAGCCTTCTTTGGCCTTGATATGTAAGGAACTTTTATTTTCAGAGCATGAGTGGGCATCTTGAAAATGATATTTTTTGTTTTTTTAAATAGTATTTAAGGCAATGTGTTTCAAATACAGTTTCAGGTGCGAGTGCACCCTGTATTGTTTTCGTTATTCACTTTGTCCTTGTTGTTGACGCTTAAATGTGCGTATTCTATTTTAGTTATAGGCGACTACATCTTTTGGGAGGAAGGAGTGATGGTTCCGCTTCACGTTAAACGTCGCAATTCTCATGCGAAAAAAAGAAAGGCACATGCTGATTATCGTAGCCACAATGAATTGTTTCAATTGCAATATTCTTCTGGACACCCTTTGAAGCGATTTTAATCTGGTTTATCGCTTTAGGCGTGTCTGTCTAGCTCTGTAGTGCCTTCGCATGAATGCTTCGAAGCGTCAGCTCAATCTCCCGATAGAACATTCGTTCTAGAAAACGAGAACTGCAAGACTCCCCTGTGCTGTACTTCGCTTTGGCGTCACTTTGACCTGAAGTCTCTAGTTGTAAAACGCTGGTACCTGGCACGGTCCAAAATCGCACGCGGCCTTAAATATTTCAAGGAAAACAAAACAATTTCGTTTGTATGTTTAATAATTCTTGTTATTGTGCAATTAAGCTAAATTATGTCTTAAACGTTATCTGAATATTCGCGTTCGCTGGTGTTTTTATTTTTATTTTATTTTGTAATGCGAATATCGTTTGGGTCACTTCTCCTGCCAGCCATTTTGTTAATTATTTCGCTCGGTATTTTTTTCTGCCAAATGTTTGAATACCCGCTCTCGTGATATGTTACATTAAATATACAGGCCATAAACAAATCTTTCTAAAGAAATATAAAGCAACAATTTCGATGTAGAAAAACGTCGTCAGTCAAACCAAATGGGTGGTTCCTTATAATCAGAAGAGGTAGCCGATTTAGCGGGAACACACACAAATAAAGGGGATAAATTGTAGAACATTTTAAGCTAAAACAACTGAATTCTACTCACCATAGCCTCCGTCTTGTTGGGGGTTTCTCATCACGGCACATATATTACTGTCAGCATATATTAGGTAGTAATCATGCTGTGTGTTATCTTGGGATTCTTCTTCTGTAAATATGAGAAAAAGTTAATTGCTGCATGTTTACTGCACGGTTAGATAACTATTTGTTCTTCTGAGACCTATATGAATAGCAGCCATCAACCAGTGTTGTAGGCGACGTTACAAAAAAAAAAACAAAAAAAAAACGTAACGAAATACTTACTTGCTACTCGCATATGTAAGGAACACGCTACTGACCTACGTTACCTCAAAATAATAGGAACACGTTACCGTTACCGATAAAAAGTAATGCACCTTGCGTTTGCGTTACCTTTCCGAAATTATGAATCAGCACGTTTGACTTTTTACGTTATCGGTATGAATTAGCGCCATATTTCAAGAAACATTATGTGCATCAAGGAAACTGGACAAAATTCCCGCCATTGAAAAAAAAAACAAAAAAAACCTGAGACTGGACAAATAAAAAGTTTCCTAGCCAGCTCGCCTACGTGCTTTCCCTCTTGATAGCTAGCTTTTCTTTTTTACTGTTCCACCTAAACACACACAAGAAAAAAAGTACAAAAACACAAAAAGCTCCAATTTATACGGCTTGGCGCTAAAATGAGGAGAAAATTGAAGAGAAAGTTTTAAATAGTTGGGAAAAATATGTAACGAAGTAACGTAACTACGTTACAAGTTTCTTAAAATAAGTAACGCAAGTACGTTACCCGTTACTATTTTGAAAATGTACTCGGAGAGATAATGCTTTCTCATTAAAAAAGTATAGCTTGTTGTAAAAATGTCAGACCACTACGGCATCGGAAATCGAACTTTGTAATCGCGCGCTCACCACAGCGTGAGCAAGCGGCGTTGTGCTCGGGCTCAAAGCAAAAGATAAACGTAAAAAAGAAGTTATTTTTAATAACTAATATATAACGAGCCGGAGGCATTTGTAACAACGCAAAACATGCAAGAAAGTCCCAGGAGCCGGCGGCGTCTACGACCGCGGAAAACCGCGCAAGACGTAAAATCGTAAAATTCCCAGCGAGACGGCTCCTCGATAGCCATTAACTAAAACGCGCATAGATTTTTTTTTTTTTTTTTTTTTTTAAAGTTGTGCGAATTTTTACACTTATAACGACTCGAAGTTTGGTTTTGGACGTTTGCGGCAAAACCGAAACTGCCTGCTGGTGGGATTGCAAACTGGTCATGACTCATGAGCTGTACAGCCTCGACGTGACGTCCCCGTGGCGCGGTACAACGTGCGGAATCAACCGCAGCTCTACTGCGACGTGGCGACACGGGGGTATTGTGGTACGCGTCGCCAAGTGCTCCTTGACTAAAACCTAACCCGCTGCCACTTGGTAAAGATCAACTGGTCGGATCTTTAAAATCGGTTTTAAAGGGATGCTGAACTAAACGTTTGAGTGTCCATAATAAGTGGCGCACGATCTTTCCACGAGCCAGCATCCGCCGGTGTGGGCGAGCACACGCAACGAAGTTGACGTCATAGTCCCCCGTTCACGCTTAAAGGGGCCCACCAACAATGTTTTGACCGGTTTGAAGTTCGCGCTGAAACGGAGCTCCATGAAAGCAGGAACACCGAGGAAAAAAAATATTACACAAATTCGCAATATTTTGTGAGTTATTAGCAAATTAAATATTGCAGAAAACAACTTTAAATAAGCAAAACATAGCGCTTCATGACGTAAAATGAAACAGTTTAGCGATTGGAGCAAAGCGGTTGGCCAATTGGACGCGAGTTTGGTTGATAGCCCGTCGGCCCGGTCGGCTCGTCGGCCATTAGGCCTAGCTGCAACCATCGTAGCTTTGCGATCGGGTTGCCATCATCGATGAATTTACCGGGCTTATCGGATTTTTAATGCGGATCTGGGCGTCGCGCCGTACGAGGACACTCGACGCTAGCGCCGCGTCTCTGCCTCAGTCCGCTTCGACAGCCGCGGAACACTCGTCTCCCGCAACTCCGCCACCGGAGCCACCTCGGCGAGTAGGAGGGAGAAACTGGTGAGCGGTCCCGTTGGGCACCGGTCCCGTCGACGCACTTCACTCGAACAGTGAAAAGTCTGTCACAGCACTAAAAGAAAATAAGGATTCCCCTGGCTCCTCTTACTGCTTTTAGTTGACCGGGACCGGGGACGCACAAGTGAAAAACGATCCGCGTTACGTGCACGGATCACTTGTCGTCTGCTCGCGATGGTACGTCGCGGACGCCGCTGGGAGGCGCGCATGAGCGACAAGGCGTTGTTTTCGCCCTTTTTGAACTTTACTTTGCAACTTTATTAGCTCTATAAAAATTACTTGTTAGAGAAACAATGACGGTTAACGTGTGATATACTTTATTTCGTATACTTTATTTCGCTTCAAAATTCCTGGGACGGCTCTCGCCAATCACGAAACCCAAAGAATGTGACGTATCCGTGACGTATAGTGAAAGGGAGCGCCGTTATGCGCGCGCATTCGGCACCTCGCGGCGCCACCGTCGGAGGAGGTGTTTCCGAGTTGTCAAATTAAAATATGATGCGCTAATATTTTCGAACTCTTTCGTTGTCCACTGGGTTTCCGAGACCACTAGCGTATAAAAACCGCAAAAAGAAGTCGACGCTCAAATACTGTTGGAGGGCCCCTTTAAAGGGGCGATGCAACAATTTTTGTGCTTTGCGCTAATACCGCTTAGAACGGATCCCTGACGTTAATGTCCGATGAAACACGCTTTCTTTTTCACCCCACACAATAGAAGTCCCAGAAAAAAATTAAAGAAAACGAACGGCGTTCACCCTCTCAACTCACAGCCAGAACAAGCGGCCACGTGATCTGGAGCCGATTATATGCCGCCAGTGTTGATCATATCCACGCGCTGGGGTTGGAAAAGCAAAGGACACTCGCTGAGTTCCAGACATTGTTATGGCTCGGCTATTGTCGTCGTTGCAGAAATTGGACACGGGACACTACCCGAATGCTTCTCGAGCTAGAAACTATAACGAGCCCAAATCGAGTGACCACACAATGCTCGGGTCCAATCTATGAACTGCATTCAAATATCGTCATTGGGGTGTACTGCGATTCCCCAGTTACGTCATCAAATTTTGCAAAGGAAAGATTGAATGAAAATGATCCCTTTTGTCCTTGAAATTACACCGCGACAAAGGAGTTTCTTGTCCAGTGGCGTTGCGTGCGAGTATCCTTGAGTCCCAGGTGTGCCAGTAAGCTCGTGTAAAGTAAAAAAAAAACATTCGAATTGAATATCGTTGCCCCGCTCCTTTAAGATGACAGTGAAATGTTCGGGCTCCAGGAAAAAGGAAAATAAATACAGTGTTTTCATCTCCACAGCGGAGTCTGGTGTAAACGATACGCGATTAATTGGTCTAACGAGCACGTAGTTCTCACTTAGGAGATTCAAAACCTGTCTTTATTGTCGTTTTTTTCGCGGAGCCCATACGTTTTACTGTCACCTTAAGCGTGAATGGAGGCCTATGACGTCAAATCACGTTGCGTGTGCTCGCACACACCGGCGGCTGCTGGCGTGTGGAAAGATGGTGCGCCACTTATTATGGACGCTGCAATATTTGGTCCAGTATCCCTTGCTGGAGTACGCTGCTTCACTTTGATCTAATATTTAGGCTGAGGTCCTATTTCATGCAACTAAAGCAATACCGGTAATTTATTTTCGCTTCGTTTCGACCAGAGTTGCTCTTTAAGTCCCGACGCGGCAAAGGCTACGAGCTGATGCGACCAATCAGACAGTCAAAAGCGCAGCATCATGGCGTTCGTCCTGTTTCTGTACCTGTTCGATCATCGCTGAACAGAAGAAAAAAAAACCTGTGACTTACGCTTTTGACACTGCTTAATTGGTCCCATTACCGCGTAGCGTCGTCTGCGTCTGGACTTGAGCTGATACGAAGTGTAGTTAACACGCCGATTTAATCCTTTCTCTGCAGGGTTCTTCTCTGACTGCTCCTCCCCCAGCCGGTTTTTTTTTTTTCACAGTGTCCGGCCTAAACAAACTTTCAAACATCTCGAGCTCGCTGGACGCCTCTGTGATTCCATTGCAAATTCCTGAAGATGATCGGTCAAGACTGTGCTCTTGAGGGTCGAATTCTTCCTTCTTCCAGCAGAAATTCCGTCTGATTTTTCGGCGGCAGGGGCTCTTTCTCACTATCGCCGCTGGACAATCCCTTAGCTGAGCTGCATCGTCGTTATCACTTTCATCTGTCTGAATTTATCAACAGCGGACGCACGTGGCACACTGACTCGCCATGCCTGCGCTGCCGCGCTGCTGAGACAACGACGAATCAACGCGGATGTAAAAACAGCGCTCCACCTTTTGTCTAAAATTTAACCTACAAGTTACATGTATTTAGGTGACCTCTCCATAGATGGCGCGACATGCGGCATCATTATTATTATTTTTTTTTACGCATGAGTTGTTTGGGGAGTGGCAGGGGGTGTGCGACGGTGGTGTCCCGAGTCATCTAGGGAGTGACAATGAAAAGCGCATCACAGTTTCGATGGAATGGTAGGTGAACATTCATATGCCAAGCGTGTTGCAATCCTCATTTTGTTTTCGAAAGTGTAACGGAGAAATTCCTGCTTTATAATCCGGTCTCGGATTTGAGAGGCTGTTTATTCAAAACCCCTAAAACTGTATTTTTTTTAATTTCTTTTTCTCGTAAACAGCCAATTATTTTTACTTTTTTCGACAATAAAAAGTAATACCTATGTGTGAAAACACGTATTGCGTAAAAACTATCTTTTAGAATAAACTCTTGGTCAAATTGTGTTGTTTTGTACTGCCTGATAATTGCTGGAAGTCTTTCACCGAGGATTTTCTAAAGGAGCTGAGGCTTCGTCAGACTTTGTGACCTTTGGTCTCTGCCTCGCATAAGGACGCATTCTAAAACAAACGATATCAATATTAAACTTTTTTGCCCACTTCAGCAAATTGTTGTTCTGATAAGAAAACTGTTTACATTAATAAAGTAGGCTAGCAAAAACTCCTTTATAGGTCTTGTTTGGTAAATAAATGTGCTTAATTTGATATATACCCGCTTTTTTTAAATAATGCGTATTAAATTTAATACGCACCGTCTGCGTTTCCGTAAAATAAAGTGTTTGGAGCAGTCCGTGTGGCGTGTTTGTCTGTCGACTTTGGATACGGCGTTGTCTTGACAGTTACTGTGACTTTTTTGGTCTCCCTGGAATGGAAGGATAATGTTCGAAAAGAAATAAAGAACCGACAACATAATATACTCACGCATGACTGTTAGTTGGCACCTTGTATCCCAGAGTGGTGGCCGGATACGTCGATTCACTTTTTTTACCAAATTTGATATACAGACATTCGTAATTTTTGCTCGTGGTGTACGTTCTATAAAGCATATATAAGGTTGGTAGCTGCCTGATCATCTAAAAAAGATATTAAAAATGAGCATGTAGATATTTGATTCTTCATTTCAATTAACTATGTAAAGTTTCTAATAATGTATTTGTGGAAAAAAACGACGAATGTATCTTTTTTAAAGAAAGACAATATAGAGTACTATATATACTTGTTCAGGGTGTTTTGTTTTTATTTTAATACATCAATAAATATGTATTGATTTATTTTTAATATAGGGGATGAAAGTTAGGCAAATTCTGTCTTTACCGTGAATTTGTCAGGCTCGGCGTACCTTAGACGAGGGGATACTCGTCGCGATAATTTCAATAAATAATTAAGCTCTTAATTAACATTTTAGTTATTGGTGTTAGAAATAATGTGAGAATTGCAGTATTGCCGGTAATTACCTTGAGAGGCCAGATCAACTGAAAGAATTATCTAAAAGGTAAGTGCTTTTCGGATATTTAACAAAGCATTTCCGCGTGTTTTGTTTTTCTTTGTTTTTGATTTTTTGCCCTATTTAAAAATTGCAGTGAAGAAGGGCGTCGCATATGTTCCGCCCACAAAGACACTTGGAAGAGTTACGTCGTCATTTCAATCACGTCATCATTATCTTAGCAGCGTGTCGACGTGACCTAAACGACTACGTCACTCTTTCAAGCATCATTGAGGGCAGGGCTTGATGCGCTCTTTTCGCGCGCAATTTTTAAGTCGAGCCAAAGAACGCGAAAACGGTTCGTTTAATATTTCAGAAACAATTTTTAGTGCGAAAACATTAACTGTCCAATTGCGCGAAGCCTGCGTTGTCTGTAGCAGCGAAAAACGGCACTCTGTTACGTCACGCCGCGGTGGTGGCGCGTCTGGCGCGCTTCCTGTCTGGGCCTGTGGGCGGAAGTCACCGTGTGAGACATGCATTCCTGTTTTCTTTTGGAAGAAACTAGACAAAAACCTGCCTTTTTGTAAAAACGCTGTGACGAGGTGACGTGAAAAGTGCCACATAATACGCTGATACATAAAGCTCACGCAATTGAAGTAAAAAGTAACCTTGTTGAATTTATTAAAGTCCTTCTTGCAAATAACTCAATTCGTAAAAATTAACCGTCACTACTCACGTTCCTTTCCAGTCACGGTACGTGTTCCGCGAGGGTCGGATCTCGGCCCCATTTTAATGCGAAAGCATTAACTGTCCCATGAACAGTTAATGCCGACGTCGTTAGCTTTTGAGGCCACGCCAAACGGCACCTTTCCCTGTCTCAATGGAGTGAAGACTGTCGTCTGTAGCAGAAATTTGATGGATAGACTCCCATTGGCTGGCGCGCGTCATTAAGGTACTAGTCTCCCATTGGCCCTTGCTCGGCGTAGTTCCAAGGGACGCCACCAGAATAGCCCTCGCGCAGCGCACGTAGTGAACCGGCCGCCGGTATGGGGGAGCAGGTGGCCGCAGAGCCCGCACGGGCAAACTCCGAAGAGGTTGCACGGCCGAGCCCAGCGCGGTGCGGCCACTTCACAAGAGCGCGCGCTCAGCCGTCGTTCGCGAAATGTGGCCGTCCACGCCACTACGCTGCAGACGGAACTAAGAGAGCGGGAGAACGACATCCTTGATATATACAGATTACTTTGTGGACTGGCTAATTGATGGGATTAGTACTCGGATATTCGCAGTTGATTCTGTTGTTTATAATCAAATCTACTCTTGCGATGATCAAATGAATCGAAGTAGTACTCTTCCCAATGTACTTAAATGGTGCAAGCAGTGGAATATGCTCTTAAACTTAACTAAAGAAATGCGCGCTACTCCGGCTGACAAACAAAATAAAAACAGAAAAACATTTCCTTACTTCACAGGTAGCACCACAGTTGGGAGTCAACACAAATAAAATATGTCGTTTTAACAATTACTATAAACCCAAGACAATGCTAAAGGTGCGCTCCACAGCATCAAGGACTTTGTGGTCCTTAAGGAAGAAGCTACCTTCAGCACTACACGACGTTAAGCTTAGTGCCTATAAAACATTGGCAAGACCTCGCTTGGAATACTGGTGTGTTCTTTTGGATCCGAACACCATTCATGAGAACACTGAATAATTAGGAAAAAACTGCAAAGTCAAGCCGCAAGATTCATTTCTAAAAGATACCGCCGATTAGACACCCATCGTAAATGATAAATTGTCTTAAATTTGAACCATCGCTGAAAGGAATTGCCAACTGAAAGAGACCGGTGACAGCGGCCACCGACTGAAAACATTTTCTCCAAGCTTAATGGATTTAAAATATCTGGTTAAAAAGGTTTTTTTATTTGTTATTGCTGTCGTTTTGTGTTGGAGTGCCAATTTTTATTGCATAGTGCGCTTTAATGCGCTATGTCCACATTTGTCTGGGACCTAACGGGGCGTGCAGTATTGCGAAATAAATAAATAGAAATTAATACCTAAAAACCATTATTGCTTCATAACATTACCTTGTTCTGGCCTCTACTAGTAACTGCCATCAATACGGCAAGTGCAACATTCCCACTAAAACCAATATCTAGAAAATTAGTTAACAAATTTTAGTTAATCCGTTAACTTAGCAATACCATTATTTTCTCATCTAATGCCCACCGAGCCTAATAACTGCATGGTGAAAACGGCAGTCATCTAAATCTCATCTTTTTTAGTATTTTCTAACTAAAATAAAGCACCCGGCATATCATCCTATTCATTTTTAATGGTAAACAAACCAGACCGAGGAGTTGATTTGCATTAGATTTTCACTTAAAAATCGCCAAGGTATGAAGACACACTTGACACGAAGCGTTTGTTACACACTTCAATAGCTGAGCAGATTTATTATTTATTAGTAATTTTAATGCTGAAAACCTATTATAAAACCGGGGAAGTTGCATAAAAGATAAATCTGCAGTACAGTAGTTCGCAGATAGTATAAACATTTGTGGCGGTATAGAATATTGAACAAAAATACATATCGCCAACATATTTAAAGCACAGTCGTGGAACCTTTAAAACCACCATAACGGTCGATATATTAAAGAAAAAACAACTCAATCAACCTTATTGTTAACCCCAATATATCGCTCAAGATTCAAAGAAAGTTAACGACCACAAACATTTTTTTAGGGGAGGGCTAGCCATGTCCGTATGTTCGTCCGCCGTCGGGTGCGCGTGCTCCTGCTCACGTGCTCACGAGCACGTGAGCAGGTGCTCCCGTGCTCGGGTAGGGCAAAAAAAAAAAAAAAAAAACTACCGCATTTCCACGTGGTGAATGATGTTGATTGGGGCGAAGCTCTGGTAATGCTTGTCTGTGTAGACGGTGAGCCGCAGCATGCCGAGCCTTTCGTTCGTTTTCATCCATGTCATAAAGAGAATGTGTGGTATGGAACGTGGTTATGTACGCATTTGAGCATTTGACCGCAGCGTGACATGGATGAAAACGAACGAAAGGCACGGCATGCTGCGGCTCAGCGTCTACGCAGACAAGAACCACCAGAACTTCGCCCCAATCAACATCATTCACCACGTGGAGATGCGCTTTTCTTCTTAAAAACTGTACCACGACTTTTTTTGTTTTTGGTTGTACATGTTTAGGCAGTTAATTTTTTTTCTGTGATTAAGATGTTCTAGTTTTGGAACTTTAAACACAACTCAACCCGGCGCTGTAAGCGTGCGCATCCTTCCGAGTAAAAATCTCACTCGATCCGATTCTTGAGTAAAGCTCCTTTCAACCCAACTATACTGTTAGGTGATATAAAACTGAGGACGAATTCGAGCCTACTTGGGTAAGAGAGGGCACAGCTTATCTGTGAATACAGACTTCTCTGCTGTTTGTTTTTAATTGGGCGGGTGTTGTTTCGGTATACGCTCGTTAAAAGCCCGCAGTCTACTAGCGGAAGCGTGCAACAAAACACTGGAGCAGCAGTATGACTCCTAGAAGAGCCATTTTCCGTGCACATCGTTCGTATAGCCGCCAAAGGACAGCAGTGTTGGAAGTAACGCGTTACAAATAACAACGTTACAAGTATCACATTTGAAATTGAGTCGCCTACTAACGAACTCGTTGGGTTCCAAGATATATAACGACAAAAGTAATTTCATTGCTACTTTAAGACATTGTCTATCAAACTACGTTTCTCATTACTTTTTACTTTTTATTGACGTTAGTCAAGTATTCGGCCCCTTTAAAGCTTCAACGCCCCATGGGGACCTGGCTGTCTTTAAGAAATAAAACAAACAAAGGAAAAAAAGGATCTGTAAAATCTAATTGCCGACGAAGTTCGCTTCAGCGGCTTATCGCTGCCAAGTACTTAAATCCAGAATAAAACAACGTAAAGCTCACTAGTTTGTGAAAGAAACTCTGACGATATGTCGTTACATTTGTGGAACGGTAACGAATTTCCGTAGCGCCTTATTTTTTGAAGGACTAAGGAGTGTCGCTATGTCTCTACTTACTTTCGGTAACAAGTACAACACTGTGGACAGCAAGCGTCGCCTCAGTCTTTTCTAATCAATATATGCCTGCCCGAACTTCGTGCTACACAGGCGCCCTGTGCCACAATAAGCGCTAACTTCTCTTGCACTAGAGATGGAAATTGAAAACACAGATCGCTTCCATGCGCTGGAAGAAGCAGTGGCGATCCTCCAATTACACGCTTCGTGCCCGAGAAATGGCAACCCCTAATGTTGCTGGATAAGGTTTCAAAAAAGGCCTAATGTCCATCTTCAAAGACTCACACGGGATAGCATTTGTATAGCAGCCTATTGTTCCGCTGTCGAAAGAGCCGTTCACTGTTTTACTAGTTTTTGGAATTAACTCCGCTTGTGTGTTGCCGTTTTTACTATTGTTTTCTTATGTTCATTCCTAAAGTCATAATTCTGCTGGCAAATAGTTCTCTGTTTTGTTTATTGTACAAAACTATATTGTGTTCATAACAACAGCCCCACGACTTATTCGGGACCTCTCAGATAAAGAAACTAAGGACGGCTTTTGGGTGATTCTTTTTATCACCACTAGCCGAAACAATTGGATGGATTCTATGTTTTTATACTCCGGTACAGGCACGTAGCCAGGATTTTTTTCCAGGGGGGGGGGGGGGGGTGCCCATGACAGAATGCTGTATGAGGGGAAGGGTGGAGAGGAGGTCCCAGCAAAATGGAAGATTTTGCTGGGACCTTCGATACCAAAACTTTAACACCAAGTGAAGAAAAAAAATTTGAAGTTTTCAATATCAGTCCTTCCCCGTCCTTTATGTTGGATATATGACTAAGGAATTTCCAAATTGGCTTTGGTGATTGGTAACTTTGCTTATGTAGAAACATAGCATATTGATCGCACATCGGAAATTAAAAATTAAATATCTAAATAATTATAACGAGCTGTGATGTTCGACGTTCGGCTTTAGTGCGTTATGCGGGAGGTAAGGCTCACATTTCAGGCGCTGACCAATGCCGTAGAAGACAAGGCATGCAGCGTCACGTCATCGTCTGTAAATCCGATATCCGCCCCGAGCAGCAAGCACAATTGTTCGAGACATTGCAGGAGGCGCTGGTGTCGACGCGAACGCGAGCAAGGTGGCGATGTGTCATTTCACCATGCGTAGTGAGATTTCGTCTCCTTCTTGCACACAGGGCTGGCGATGATGTCAGAATGCCGAGCTCCTATGGGCTGATTGAGAAACATAGTGGGTAGACCTCAAGGCATCTAACATTAAGGTCTCCACTATATCCTTTCAATTAAAGCCAATCAGAGCTCGACGTCATTCTGAGGTCACCGCAACTCTTGCGCAAGAGGCAGACGGACTTGCACTCTGCACTGATGACATGAGAAGAGGAAAAGTGCAGAATTGTCTTTTATGTGATATCGACTGAACGCTTAATACATACATTTTCGACATTCTGGTGCTCTTTGTACGCCGAATCATTCTCCTGCTTCTGAAGTTGATTTTCATCCGAGATAATGTAGGCAAACAAAGAAAATATAATGATGAGGGATCTCTTCGCCATCCCAATAATTAGTTGTTCAGCAGGTTCAGATGAGCTGGTTCTTCAAAACCAATTTACGGATACTGAACAAAGTGGGAACAAGAAGAGGGGCACAATAAACGTTACCACATACAGCATTTGAGTGTTAGTATGGTTTATGTTCAATAAAACTCTTCCAGTGCATTCTCTGACAAGTATGTAGAAATATGTAGAAAAACGCCATGCTGATGATTGGAGATTAGTAATTAACATCCTGATTAACGCGTCCTCCAGGTTATTGTCCACGGACTGTGCATTCTTTATAGTTCATATTCGACCTTCAGCATCCGGATTTTCTACAGCCGCAAACTATGAGCTGATATTTTAATTGTTTATTATCAACAGACCAATAACGTTGTTTAACGCTGTGCATGAAACAGCCATATACATTTTTTTAAAAAAGCTCAACCATTAGAGTGTTATTTTTGCATTCACTATTCCTGCGTGTTGACCTGCAAGATAGCTCCCTCAAGTGATAATCCAAATCAAGCTCTATCTTGATGGGGTAAACACCCATGTGAAATCGTTACTACAGACAAATACCTGGATATGTATACTTACAACACAAAAGGTAAAAAATTAACAATTTTTATTTTTTGATAAGTAAGCATTAAATGCATATTTTACGGAAATAAGGCAAGAATTTTTTGTACAATGGGAGAAGTTAATAGCCATTGCGACCAATCTGAGATAACTACGCTTGTTTCAGCCCTGATTCTGTCCCGTGGGCTCTATGCCGCGTAAAGGCTAAAGTAAAAATAAATAAATAACACAGTACTTGAGAAACTTTCTAACAAAACACCACTAAAACCGATGCAAAAGATCTCTGCAACATATATATATATATATATATATACATATGAAAAACCTAGCCTTTGCACCGCGGGCATCACTTCAAGCTCTTCAACATTCAAAAGAAACCAGCTAAAAAGAGACCGAAAAAACATTTTTTTTTTTTGAGAAGTGCTATTTGGGCGTTTGGGTTGCAAAGTTAATTATGTTGACTTCCGTATAATTTTTGAAAAGAATCATTTTTAAATGCAGAAAGCTTAACGATATACTCACAGAGGTGATATCTTCAAGCAGAAGCAATTCAATTGTGACTTTCAACAGATGCTGGCGGAAACTGGTATATTAAATGTCCCGCCCTTTGCTGCTTTTATTGCGTCGGGAGTGTAAACAAACATTCTCACAAAACGTACGAGGGGCATTAACCCTTCACTGACATGAGTCCTCGGCAACACCTTGTTTTGCATGCCTATGGCTTTTTATTTTCTGTTCATAAAGGGTCAATGACATGAAACATGTTTGTCTGAAAATATGATACTATCGGCTTACAGCTTTATTTCTTCTGTGTTATTGATTTGTTTTTTATTTTCGCACTAAAAGGCACTATCGACTTGCACGTTTCATCTTTGATGTTTACATGATTATTGTATGTCTCTTCACATGGTAACAACGTATAGAAAATGTACTACAATTGTATCTTGAACAGCACTTTCAGATATGTAATGTGCCGCAATTACGTCTCAAATGTGCATTCAGGAGGATTCTAAGATCGTCTATTTATGCTGATAACTCAATCTACTTCATCTAAGTGTTCATAAAAAAAACAACTGACACTCATGGAAGGGCCATTTCCCTATTACAAATCTAATCAAAGATTGTGACTCGCCCCTCTTTCTGCGCCTTGGAGCAGACACGAAAAGGCGCCATCAGACGTCACTTTAAAACAATAATTGCTGCATCACGTGTCCTACACCCGCAGATATGACGTTTTAGTCAAAATATAATGCACAACGCCTTGTTCATGACAATGAATACGAAATTAACCCCACTATGATTTGATTACCATGTTGAACGATATGGTCTGCTGTAAAAAAAAAAGTAACAGAATATTAGTACCTGGGATTATTTTTTTTATTCGAATTTCTCCCGGAGTTTTTATGTGCATCAAATATGCAAAAAGGCCGTGCAACGCCTTCTGGGCACGACGAATAACCTTAAGAAACGCATCACCTCAAGTGAAATGTAACTGCGTATAGAAGTTTGACTCTACTTATTATGAAGTATGCCAGTCCAGTGTGTGAACTCTATATGCAACTAAATATTAAAAAAATAACTTTATAAAAAATACAAAACAAGACGCTTCGATTTATTTAAAGAAACACATCAATGACTTAATCTCGATGAAGAACTTTTTTTTTTTGCAATAAATAGCGCAATATAATAAATCGGCTAAAATTTTTCTCTTCAGTTTCTAATGATTCATGGAAAATCAACGAAGAGAAGTATATATATATATTGCTCTATCCCCATAAATTTAGGAAATAAACATAACGGGCCTATTGATACTCACGATAATTCACGTGTGTCTTAAATTTTTGTAGTTTGTAAGACCTATAGATGATTGGAATGACCTACCTGAAACAGTGCATGGTAAATAGCGCAAGTATATCTTAGTTTGTAGAAAACGTTGCCTCAGATTTGATGTTCTAATTTGTACGTCTGTATTGGCGTAAATTGAAAATTAATACACAAAAAACTGTTTTCGCACGAATAACTAACAAAACTAAGAATGTTCTTTCTTATACTTACGAGCTTGATGGGAGTCCTTTGGTTGAAGTTGACAGTTTTAAATACTTGGGTGTGACACTTTCTAAAGACTTAAGTTGGAGTAAGCACATAAATGAAATATGTCACAAAGCAATGAAAAAGCTTTGGTTTTTAAGACGGAATCTGGCCAGTGCTCCGCCTAAAGTGAAGTTAATGGCCTACACAACGTATATTAGGCCTACCTTGGAGTACGCTGCATCGGTATGGGACCCCTATAGAAAAAATCAAATTGGTGAACTCGAAAAAGTTCAGAGGAAGGCGGCGCGATTTATTCTATCCAAATACAAGCGACTTGATTCTGTCACAGATATGCTGAACAGCCTCAACCTCCCCTTACTTTCTGTCCGTCGAAAAATTGCTCGACTAAAGTTTTTCTTTATGTTTTCTCATCACCTGTATAACATTAACCCGGATTCTAGATTAACACATCGCGCATCGAGAGAACTCAGATACGTTAGCACTAATCAGTTTGAAGTGCCCAAATGTAATATTGACGCTTATAGGTTTTCTTTTTTCCCTAGAACTGTGAAAAACTGGAATGATCTCCCACAAAATATATTGTCATTGGACTGTTTAGATGATTTTGAGAGCGCCCTTTTGAATATGACTGGTTTGGAATGATAAATAGTAGTTAAATATTTTTTGGAAACTTCGTTAAAGATTTCGAGTGCTGAGAGTTCATTTTGTTGAGTACTATATAATATATTGAATGTTTGTGCTATTTCAGCCCCTTTATTTTAAGTGAATGTCGCTGAATGTGTACTGTATTGTAGTCCTGATGTTGTATGTTTCAGTGCTCTTCTATACCCCACACCTGTTAAAGCCCCATACTTGGGGTGAACAGTATTCATAAATAAAAAATAATAAAAATAATAAAAAAAATAAGTGTTTTTCCTAATATGTACCGACTCCTGCCTTGGCCAGTCGATTGCTGGCAGTACGAAATATATCAAATACAAAAATTGCAATAATAGTAACGTTGGGAATCTCCACGCAATTAACTATGTTCATCGGTCAGATTTCATAGAGGTAGCGGGGGACAGGAAAATGCCCCTCCGCCCAAACAGGAGATAATGCACGTGTACCTCTTTTGCTATTAAATAACTGGGACGTATAAATATGTAGAACTGGTAATTTGTATTAACTAAAGCCCAACAAACAATATGCCATAAAATAGTAGCTTCTAGAAAAGTATCAACGTGAATGATACTTCGGCGCCAAGCGGTTTGTGTTCGGTGTTAGCAGTAATAATAGTAAACAGATTTGTAGAGGGCACCACTTCTTTGCGCTTCTGAATCCAGATAAAACCGAAATACGCTATGAGGCTCGCTTGTCCTTTGCGTTGCTAATATCGCAATGTATTAATCATACACTCAAGAGATTTTTTTATGTTTCATGTTGAACAATGCCTATTTGGAGATGGTATTTTTTTAGAGGTCTGAAAGAAATCTTGTGTGCGGGAGAGGGGAGGGTTTGGTTTGTTCGCATACTTCAGAAAATAGTTTCGTGCCAGGCAACATGTCAACAACTATCGATCGCCACGCGTATACGTTAACAATAGTTGAAATACCACATTACTCTGTTGGCATTATCATACTTGATCAGTATAATGATAACATTACAAACTAAATTGAAGTGAATTCACCAGTATTACACGACTATCAATTTAATAATAAAGCAAGGCGTTTTTCTATACCTTTTATGTGTCTTTGTATATTAATTCAGCAAGTGATCCAAACCTTTCTATTTTATATGCCCGTTTACTTCATCGATAACGCCGTCGTTTTCGTTATGGAAAAAATTAGAGTGTCCGCTTGTATGAATTCTGCATTGATAACACTTCTGATTGATAAAAAGCATTTTTTTTTAGATGGTGAGATATATTTTTGGAGAATACAATTTTATAGTGGTAAGAACTATAGGGGAGTCTGAACAAACTAATTTAAAATAGTACTCTAATTATACTTACTTATATATGGTGTGTGGAAATTATTTTAACCCTGGAGAGTGAGGAGACGGACAGCGAAACACAAATATCAAATTTTTTTTAGATTTGTGTTCTGCTCTCCTTCTTGTCCCCACTCTCCAGGGTTGAAATAATGTCCATACGGAGCGCAAGTCTGTAGGCTTCTATTGCAGGGACTGTGGTCTCGTCAGAACGCCAAGCTCTGATTGGCTCTGATTGAAGGATAGTGCGTAGACCTCAAAGCAATCTGCCTTGAGGCCTACCCACTATATCCCCTGCAGAAGCAGGCGAACTTGCGTACTCAACCAGCTCGCCCGCACCAATTGCTTCAACTTTATGGTGTGTGAATGTTTAAGGTGCCATATGAGAATAGGAATTACGCAGTTATAAAGATACACTATGAGAAGATTCAAGTAACTCCGAATGGTTGTCAG